AGGACCGTGGTGACTATGTGATGAATGCGGAACAAGCACCCGGGGTGCAGGGCACCGTACCCAGGTGCGGGTGCACCTGGTCCGATGTTTTTTCAACAAGGTCAGGTACCCATGGGTGCGCCTGACGGTCGTCAGCGCAATCTGGCGTTACAACCATTTGACGGTAAGGAAATCTACCATGGTATTGGTAGTGGTTTCCTAGAGTTGGGCAAGGAGTTCGTACGCCAAGTTGGTTTCTCCGAGCGCGCGTGTGGTTTCGTCTGGCCTGAAGACATCAAGGTTGATGTGCTCGGGCAACACCTAGCCGGGACGGCGCAGAAATATTACCGCCGGTAGGTGGAGACTTGGTGGTCTGAGAGTCCAACCTTGGAGAATGCAATGCAAAGGTTGCTCTAGACCTTTAACACCAAGATAAAACCTGCCCAGAGTATGAAGTTGTTTACGGCAGCCAAGTCGTCGCATCGAAATTGGACGGAACACTTCTTGTATCTCACTGCTGTGAGTGACGCCTGCGGAGGCGCGGACAATCTAGTTTTGGACAACATTGTTCTTTACGCAGACCCGACGATGCGCACGACGATGCTATCTCGTTTGTATTTGCACAGGGTGGACTACTTGCGACAAGCTGAAGAGCTGGCACAGTTCGCACGATAGACGGAGATAGACATCCGTGTAAGGCAGTTCGGTCGTGATGTGATGAATGTTGTTTTGTCTACCAAGAACGTCACGTAGGTTGGGTCGGTCAAAAATGGCGCGAAGACCAAGGTCAAAGAAGGTGCTACCTTTGTGAAAACACAGGACACCTGAAGGCATCGTGCACTAAGAGATCGAAGGAAAAATAAGATGCAGATTTCGTCCTCACAGTCCAAGTTGCGGACGACGACCAGACTCAAGCTGCGGCTAACTGGGTGCTGGACGGTGGGTCAGGCCGTCATTTATTTAATGACTTGAGCCTACTGGAAGATGTGGTTGATTGCGATCACGAATGCTTCACCGCGGCGTCTGATGGAAGACCTCTTCGGATCACGAAAAAAGGTAGTGCAATGATTCGGGTTAAAACACTTGGGTTGACTAAGATCATCCGACTTCTCGATGTCCAATACGCTTCTAATATGGGGCGTAACATCATTTCCTTCGGCAAGTTGGAAAATAAGGGATGAGTGCTTGAATATCGTGAAGGGAGGCGTGTTTTGTTCTCTAATCCTGGTGGAGCACCCATCATGGATGTCGATCGCATCAACGATTTGTTATTTGTGAAGTTTCACGATGACATTTCTCCAAACAACTTTTGTGTTTCTAGCTCACCACTGGAGGCGGTCATGGCGATCGTGAATGGTGATGAACATGGACATAAGTCAAACGTTCAACAAGGAAGCTTGCTACAGTATTATAGGCGTTTATGCCACCTTTGTTACGGCACTATCATCAAGATGTCCCGTACCCCACTTCAGATATCAAACTAACCGACACTAAGCGTGTTAGCTGTTTGGCCTGCGCACAAGGCAAGCAGACAAAGAACCGACAATCTCGCAAAGAAAGTGGGGCGAATTAGCCAATCGAAGTGATAGGAGGAGTCATCTGTTCTGATCTCAAAAGTCCCATGACTCCTCGCGATCGGCTCGGGAACAGGTACCTAATCAGCTTTGTTGATCATCAGTCTAACTACTGCCGGGTATTCTTGGCGAAAACTAAGGATGTTGCAGCGATGAATTTCATGCATTTCCTGTCCTTTTTTTAGCGACGCTTCAATTGCCGGATCCACGTTTTGCGCACGGACGGCGGGGGCGAGTACAAACCTCTGGATGTATTCTGCAAAGACACTGGTGTCGCTCGCCAGATCAGCGAGCGTAATAACTAGGCCAGCAATGGCAAAGCCGAAAGGATGCATTGCACGATTATGAACATGGTGCGAAGCATGGTGTTTGCGAGCGGACTACCTTTATAGTTTTGAGGCGATGCAGCTGAGTATGCAACTTACATACTCAACCGAAGTCCGACGAAAGCAAACGACGGTGGAGTCTCACCGATCGAGGTGCTTACCATGAAGAAACCCGATCTCAGTGACATCGCGGTATTTGGTTCGACGTGCACAGCTCAATTGCACACGGACAACAAATCGATGGGTTTACGTGGAAAAGCGGCAATCATCATTGGCAAGAACGATGAGACAAAGGGATATCGCATCTACTTGCCAAAGGATCAAGTCGTCGTGGCCACGCAATATGTACAAAACATTGAGACTCTGAACATCATACAAGACGGGAGTCCAATAGAAGATCCCGATAATGCTGAAGGTAAGGAGGAGTCTCAAGATGATCACGACGAACTTCCAGCAAAGACTCGTTCGACCAGATGGACACGTGATTGACATGTGACAAGGTCCGTCAGCAAGAAACTGGGTGAACCGAATGATGATGACGAAAGCAAGGGCACAAAAGTCCAAGACACTGTCAACATCGTGAGCGAGCCAGACCCAAGGAACTATGGTGAGGCTGTGCGAAGTCCGTCAAAGGAAAAGTGGCACGTGGCGATGACAGAAGAACTGACTGCATTGGAGTCAAATGGAGTGTGGACAGTGGTGGTACCACCCGAAAAGTCGCACGTCCTGCACAACAAGTGGGTGTTCAAGACGAAAACCGACGCCGATGGAAATGTGGAGCGGTACAAGGCTAGGATGGTGGTTTGTGGAAATGAGCAACTATTTGGAATCGACTATAAACTGACTTTCGCTGCTGTCATGGAAATTGGCACCGTCAAGGTCATTTTGGTGCTGTCACGTCGATGGAACGTACCAGCGCGTCACGGTGACGTTACCAACGCCTATGTCAAGGCAAAAAAAGAAGAGGACCTCGACATTTACATGAAAGTGCCAAGCGGGATGCAAGTGAGCAAAGAAATTTTGGATGAACACGGAGTCAAGCACCCGAAACACCTTGCCTTGCTTTTGAAGAAATCCTTATACGGTTTAAAGCAAGCTGGACGACTGTAGGGTCAATTGTTGCACTCGAAGTTGGTTGAGCTCGGTTTCAGCCAATGCACAACGGACATGTGCCTATACGTCGAGAAGATCGACTAGGCCATCACGATTGTCGGGGTTTACGTCGACGACCTTTTGGTCACAGGACCTTCAAGCATAGCCGTGGAACAGTTTTTAAGAGCATGGTGTCCCTCGAGATCAAGGACCTCGGAGTCGTCAACAAATTCCTGGGTTTAAGGATTATACTGGATGACAAGTGCGGGTACATGCTGGATCAAGAGGTGATGATAGACGTGCTGCTGAAGGACCATGGCCTGGAGTCGGCGAATAGTGTATGAGCCCCTATCAACGACGAATGCAATGAAGTGGACCCTGAATCTACGGATATATTGGCTACGGCAGTTGAAGTCGGACATGCGAGTGTCAAGGCATTCCAGTCACTCGTCGGGAGTCTGCTTTGGATTGCGCGCTACGCACGACCGGACATCAGATTTTCGGTACATCGCGCGACATGGCAGACACACAAACCAAGTGTGAAGGACTGGAAGATGACCAAGCGCATTGCAAGGTATTTGAAGGGAACGAAGACATTGAAGTTGTTCATTAACAGCTCAAGCAAACAAATGGACCCGATCAAGATCGAGTGCTGGAGCGACGCGGATTTTGCAGCCGACAAATCGGACCGAAAGTCGATCTCAGGATGTGCGTTGACGATCGATAGAGCAGTGATTTCATGGGCGTGCAAGAAGCAGACTGGTGTCTTTTTAAGCACCATGGAAGATGAGTTCATTGCGGCATCGCATGCAGGACGCGAGCTACTGGGACTGAATGAACTATTCGGTGAGATGGACATGAAGGCCGTCGAACCCATGTCAATGTGGATGGACAACCAAGCCGCGATTAAACAATTGGACTGCGAGAAGAGTACGTCAAGCGCGAAGCACGTTGACATTCGTTTCAAGTTCATCTGCCACTACGCTCAAGCCAAGATAGTCAAGCCAAGTTATGTCAAGACTGAAGACATGATTGCAGACCTATTGACGAAGGCACTGCCAGCGCCGAGAATTGTGTACTTGCGCGGGATGTTCAAGCTGAAGAACATTCAGGATGACGTCGAGGAGGAGTGTTAGAATATACTCTTTCCGACAAGTCAAGAAGGTGTTGCAGGTCAAGGGCAAGACCTGGTACAGGTAAGCCCGACCTCACCTGATTGATTTATAATGTGTCATAATGACAGATGGGACTGGGGACACGGTCGTCATGTTACAGGACAACACATGGGACGAAGAGAGACGGAAGTCAAGTGACAGGGTGTCACATGGGACGGGGAGAGACGGACACCATATGCAACTTGACATGGTCAAGTTGTAGTTTCTGTTTCTGGTCATACATATCGTAGTGTTGAAGAAGATAGTTTTAACACACAATACAATTCACTTTCACTTCTACCCCTTTGCAACAAGTGCATCACTACATTCTTACAGTATTAATGGCGATGATACGCACGTGTTTCAATCCCTGACGGATACTTGCATGCCTACAAGAAAGCTTTGCGCATCAAACGACTAGTGCCCACTGCGCTTTATTAAATTTGACGAAGCTTAAGCGATGGTTGCAGTTCTTCCCAAGATGTCCTAGCTAGATATAGACGCTGGCACCCAGGTATGTCTTTCATTTGATTCTTCATCGGCGCAAGGAATGCGTCTCTGATTTTGAAATTTGCGTACGTCTCTATACTCTTAACATAGGGCGATATCTTACGAGCAATGTGTTGTTGCACCCTCCACGACCACATTACGACTCCTCCCTTGTATCCAACTCCGGTCCACTATCCGGGACAGCGAAACGCCCTGTCACAACCTCTGCCCTATCCTTTTTTTGTCATCTAACTTTGTGCGTCTAATGCTACACGTTGCGTTGATTGTCCACGAGACAGAAAAAAAATCTCTTTTTCACACCACAGACATAGACCGACTCAGCCACATATGCCGCTTTTGTCAATTGAAACGCTCCTTTTCACCAGATGACGCCGTCGCCGCTGCCTCCGCATTGGGTAGTGCGCGTCTCTCGGTCGAAGAGAAAGGTCTATTACTACCACGAACTCACGCACATGACACAATGGATTCGTCCTGCACCTGCATCGATCCAGAGCTCTCCCAAGCGTCTCAAGCGCGACGAACCCGTCGATCGCACCGAGCCGACACTTGGAGAGCAGCATACGAAACAAGAGCATGTACTGGACCGGACAGAACAAGAGCACGTGCGGGATCACACAAGACTAGAGCACGTACAGGATCATACGAACGAAGAGCAACAGACAGAAGACGAGCAACCGACAGAAGAAGAGCAACAGACCGAAGATGAGCACCAGACGTTACGAGAGCATGTTCTGGACACTATCATTCGGGCGTCTATGCGCGTTGGAGGCAGTTTACTGAGCCAAATAAACAGCAGCAAATCGAACCGCTCGGCGTCTCTGTTCACGCCGTGGCCGCACCAAGTGACCGCCGTCAAGTCGGCTGTTCTTGCGATCGAGACACAAAAAACAGAGAGATCCAACTGGGAACAAGTGACGGGACGAGAGAGCTGGCGGTTCTTAGTGCAACATAGCACAGGCGCCGGCAAAACACTGACCATTGCAGCGCTGGCCCATCAGCTCCTGTCGGCCAAGGACGCTCAAGGTGTGCAGTTTCACACTGTTGTGGTCATGCTGGACCGAGTCAAGTTGAACGAGCAGGTGGGCGACGCTGTGGAGCGGTACTTGCGTCAGAACGGAGTGTTTGATGTATTTCGGGCTTTGAGTATTGACCACTTGGCTGCAGTGCTCGATTCACCGACCCAGCAACTGCAGAAGCAGCAACAGCACCAGCAACAAAAACATGAACAGCAGCTACGTCTTCAACGAGTGATCATTACGACGACACAAAAGATGGCGTTGCTGGTAAAAGATGATGTGCTCGTGACGAGGTTGCTGCATCGAAGCTTGGCCAGACCTGTCACGACTAAAGAGGAACACAAGGATAAGTATCAGCGCGTTGCAATCATCACAGATGAAGCACATCGATCGCATACGTCGTCGACACGAGACGCTATTGATAAAGTGATGAGCGCTGGAAAAGGCAGCCACGCGCGGCTCACGGTAAGCCTAACGTGTCTCTATGATCCAATGGCATTGATAGTGACGACGAACTTGACGTGCAGCTGTAGTTTGTTGGTTTCACAGCAACGCCAAACGCCGATGCGCTCGAGTTGTTTGGGTGCCGAACAGATGACGGCTATCTTCGCCCTTTTCACTGCTATTCGATCGCACAAGCTATAGCAGACGGACGCATCATGAATGTACTGGAAGACTACACGTGCATACGCTGTGAACTCGAAACCTCCGTGTTTTCGAAGTCAGTCCACGACTTGCTACGAACGCATCGTGGTGCTAGGCGTTATATCATGGATCGTGCAAGTGATGACATAGCTGTTCTCAAGGCCAAGGCGCTTCTAATGATGACGGATTTCGAGGCCGTGGAACGAGAACACCCGAAAGTGAAGTGCATGATTGTGGTGCGGAGTCGCCATGACGTCACGCGGTACCACACGCTCCTGACGCGGTTCGTTGCCGCAAGAAATCTCGGTTGGATTTGTTTCGCTGCTTTCAGTGGTACTGTAACGATGGACGGTGAAGACGGAACTTCAAAGCTCGTAACGGAACAGACGTTGAACAGTCGTAGCGTGACACTATCTATCAGCGACATCATCATTGTCTGTGACAAGCTGGACACGGGCTACAACGAGCCTTTGCTCGCATGCATGTACGTCGATCGTTACTTGCGTTCTAGCGCACATACAGTTCAGCTTCTCAGTCGTTTGAATCGCCGTCACAAGAACAAGCGCAAAGTTCGTGTCTTGGACTTTGCAAACCATGCGGCACAAGTGCGACGGAGCTTCGCAGATTTCTGGAGAGAAGCGAAGGTGCCGAGATCGGCTGATGTGATTGACAAGGCAGCTGAGCGACACGACCTGGCGACCGCCATCGTCGTTTTGTGCGACCACTTCCAGGAGCTGTGCTCGACACCGGTCAAAATCGAGGATCCATGCGCCTTTGTATCGGAACGCGTTTTACCATTAGAGCGCGATGCCTTTCAACAAGTGCTCGATGCGCTTCGTGGTGGTGTGTTGGCGCTAAAAAGACTAGAGCAAGCAGGATGTGCGAGCTATTTCGATTTGGTTTCTCCGTTCCGGTACGTCTAGTATGGACGCAAGACCGTGTGGTTTCGATTGTGACGTTGTTGCTCGTGCTGCAGCTCTTCTGTGCTTGATGAGCTGAAGAAAGAGATTGAGCGTCACGTCGTTGCTGTGGCGGAAGACGTCAGGTTGTCTCTTGATGAAGTCAAGACCAAGATGCAGGCTCGGGTGCAAAAGCACGACAGGTCCTTCTCAGGGTCTCTGTACCCGCAATCGTTGTTGGTAAGTTCTCGCTTTGCACAACCGTTGCTTGTCGGTGCTTCGAAGCTTTAACGCGTACATGTGTGTACTCGTGTACACGCAGGACCGCCTGGAGTGTGGGAGCAAGCTGACAGAAACGACATCGTGCTTACGGCAGTTTGGGGAGCTAGAACGCTTTGAAGCTCTCCTGTTGACAACATCGGCGCGTAACAACCAGTCTGTCGATTCGTTCGACGTAGCAGAAGCGATACAGGCCAACGAGGAGCTCAAGATTGAGTGTAAGGAGGAACAGTGTGTGGAAGGCCGACCACTTCTGTCGGTGCAGATCGCTATGATGCACAGAAACATTGCTGCATCGTGGCAGAGCGATTAGCCTCAGTGGATGATACTCCAAATGGTGCCGGAAACAGAGTATGAGGTGGTTGTGTCCTTGGTCGCTTGGAACTCACACATCAGGAACTCGCGTCGGGTGGAATCCGTAAAGTGCCGTATGTTTTGCAGCTTGTTGGTAGCAGCACGACAAGCTCTACCGTCATCTGCTCCGCCCGTCTATTGCTTCACCCTCCGCGCTCACAATTGATCCCGAAAAGTCCAACGCAACTCATGTTGAACTACAAAAGTGTTTAAAACAAAAACGTAGGTGTGTGTTGTTGCCCGCACCCACTGCAGTCGCTCGGCGTCCACTGTCGTCACTATCGTCGTATTCTCTGTCGCTCTTTTCTGTCCCTATCGTTCGCCTCCATCCTCCTCGTGACGTGATTACGCAGTAGAACGCGTCGCAGTGTACCCCGTACCCCGTACCCCCTGCTCTCCTGCCCGTCAAGCCCTGGGAGAACCCGCTAAGAAGAACACAGCAGACTGGCGGTGCGCCGCGGCGTGACTGACTGACTGACTGACTGCTCGTCTCTCTTGTCGTCTGCTCGTCGCTTCTGTGCCCACAACGTACTGCTCTCTACTGCCACTGCAGACGACGACGACAAGTTGCTGACGTCGGAGACCGTCGGGTCCGTCCCGTCTGCAGGTGCTGCCGCGTCTGTTTCCGTGTTGTCACCTGCTGCGCCGTTCGGACTGCCTGCAGCCTCAGCGCTTGGGCCCACGTCTCCCTATGGAGGCGCGTTAGGGGTGCGCACCGACGGGGTACGGAACGGGACTGGGCTCGATGTATGGGACGGGGTATGGCAACGCGTGGTACGGCGGAGGCATGCAGGGGTACGCGGGGGGTTACACTGGAGGCCCGCTCTCGTACGGCAGCAGTGGTCTGCTCGGAGGCGGCGGTTATGGAGGGTACGGCGGCATGTCCCGAATGGGGTACGGCAGTTCCCTTGGCGGCAGTCACATGGACCCGATGAACGGAGGAGGAAGAGATGGTGGACTGGGCTGGCTCTCGAGCTTCCACCAGATCGTGAGCTCTGTCGGTCAGATATCGGAACTGCTGGGGATGAACGCAGAGGCGCTCAACTTTTGTATCGGTGCGGGGCAAAAGCGCTCAGCTGTACTGTAGTTTCTTCACACTGAGACCGGGACGCTGCTGTTGTGCCGACTTCGACATCATGTCACCACTGCGTCTGTTGCAGGGAGTTCTGTGCACTTTCTGGAACACATTGGCGCCATGTGCGCGGGTGTGGCTGCCCTGCTGGCTCCACGGCCAGTGTTTCCACCCGGTCACCCGCGACATGGCGAGCCGCCCGTGACGGAAGAGGAGGAGAAAAGTCGCCGACGTCGACGAGTGCGTATCTTCCAGTTCATTCTGAGCATGGCGACACTCGCAGTGCTGTACAAGGGACTGCGGTGGCTGCGTGCCAGGACGTCGCTCCAGAAGCTGCTGGTCGCGCCGCCGTCCAGTAGCGTCCATCGAGACCTCGAGCACATTTTCGAGCATACGATGGGCGTCCGGCACTTGTAAAGCAGATAGTTTGCCGACTCTGTGGTTGCAGACAGCCTCGTGGATGACGTTTGGTTGCACAGGTGGGACAAACAAGTCGCACAAGGTATGGATTAGGCCGATTATCTGCATACCTCTACGGCTAATGGCTCCTCGTGTCTCTTTCGCTCTCGTGCCCCGTTATGTCTCTGTCTCCGTTGTTGGTCAGATCCAGTCAGCGTTACCCGCCACTAATAGGAGGAATCGGTGCCACTTCGTCTCCGTCCGTCAGCGCTACGTCGTCGTCAGAGTACTCGAGATGAGTGCGAAAGTGATGCGGCCGATGCTGGACGCAACGTGCGGGTACTTGTCAACCAGCAGACGGCGCAGTGACGCGAGCGTAGTGTTGCTCTCGTCCGGCAGCTGGACACTCTCCTCGCGCAGACCGACGTCCTCCCGCGCCGACGCAAAGTACAGCATCTTGATCTTCATCTCGAGGCTTCGTCCGCTACACTAAGGACGCGCTATGCGCTGTTTTGTGTGATGCACATCCATGTGAAGGATGGGGCAATGCACCGGGTGAGTGAGTGTGACTGATCGAATGTGTTTGTGACGTCTTTGTGTATATGTAGCCGATACGTGGAAATTTTTGACGTTTCGGGATGCTCAATGTGACGCCTCTTTCGTGATTACACCACTCAACCCTCTTCATTCTCGCAGTCGACAGAGCAAGATACGTGGTGCTAGGTTGCGGGCAGTCGGATCTGGAGCATGCAGCCATACAAAGTCGGCATCGTCGACATATGCAAAGGCTCATCTCACAGATCACGTGCTGGCGGGACGGCGACCGGCTAACGATTTGGTTAGCGGAGCCGCTTCCTGCCATTACCTGGGAGATAATGGCCGTGACCTGCCGGTATTGGCCTACATATTCGTGAGCAGACAACCCATGGCTCTGCGGTGGTACCGGCCGTCAATTGTTGAGGACGAAATACGACCGCATCCGGCCGTGCTCACTGGAAGAACTTGCATTTGAGCGAAGCGGCCCAACGACATACGTTAGTCACGTCACGTTGTCTGAGGGGGGCGGCCAAGCACCACACGGACCGCAAACTTGGGCGCTGGGCTTTGGCGATTCTGATGGGTAGTCCTTCGTTGGCTATAGGCCGGTCATTCGAGGTTCTACCCACTGTGACTCTTCGACCCCCCCCCGAAACTCCGGCTATCGTACGACTGGGTGCTGGACGGACCTGGAGCAGTCCGAGGGGTGGCACGTACGCCGCCGGGTATGTCTTCACTTGGAATCATGCTCAAGCAGGAGGCCGCCGGAATCAATTGGACAGTCGTCGACTCCGCTATACCTCCGGAGTATGGCCACGATGTAGCCGTCCTCCGGAGCTCGCAAAGGTCTCTCGGTCTGGTCTTGGAAGCTCATCCTTTGACCCACAGCTTTCCGTGGGATGCCCCACCGACCGTGGCGAATCGGCACGTATTGCGATACCTTAAGCGCCAGCCGTACTGCAAGGCGAAGACGGGGCTCGGCAAGGCATTAGAAGGTCTACTCCAAAAGTTACACACCTGTGCAGCCCGAGGGGACTGGCACTCAGCAGTTCTTCATCAAGCACCGAAGCAGCTGTGGGGCCACAAAAATGCGATAACGGAGTATCAAGTGTGGGTCTATTACCGTCTGGTACTTCACCAGCTCAATTTATTCTTCCCGGGCAGGGAACACGACAACAGTTGCCGACGGCTGACCGTCTGTGCTGGTCACAAAGAGACTCTGGAGCACATTTTCTGGGCCTGTCCGGTGGCCCAGGGATGCTGGCAGGCGGTCCTGTCCGCGTGGTATGGGTCCGATGTGCGGCTGAATGACGTGAGTACGTATGCGGGGAACTGCTTCGCACGAAAGCCGCCGCCTCTGTCTAGGACACTGTTACAACGGCTGCAGCGGGCCTTTGGAGATACTGTGGAGGAATATATTGCTCAGTGGAAGCACATATGGTGGATCCTCTGTTCCGTCTGTATCTCGACTCTTTGGATACAGCGCAATCGGGCTGTTCACGAGCAGCAACAACTCTCACTCCAGGGCAGTGTCCAAGAGTTTTGCTCTAACGGACTTCGGCAATTACGAGCGCTATCGGCAAGAGAGCGCCGAACGCTACAATCAAGGGGGCAAGGCATCCGGCTTTTGGCAGTGCATTGAGTTACTCGATGATACCACTGCGCCTTCTAGAGCATCACATCATGTGGTGAGTCACGTGCAACCACCGGGCAATTCGACACCGGCGTTGCCAATCTGGCTTAGGACATTCCAGAGGTCTTGTTCACATTAAAACCGTGTAAAAAGACTGTCTGTTCCTCTCCCTCTCTCTAGATATATATGTAGCCGATACCCAGCAGTATTGATGGGCGCGTGTCTCGTTACCCGTGTAGACCATCGCGTGTGTCGAAGGGAGAGAGTCGTTGTAGTCATATCCTGTGCGGGCAGTTATCCTGCCATGACCAAACGTCAGCTTTCACACCGTTTAAAAAAGTATCTGAATGTCTCAACACGTTCTGGCGCTCAGTTGGGCTGCAGCTTATTGCCCCCGCCTATTCCGCACAGACCATTTCCAGCTTCGAATCTACACGACTGCCGCAGTCGTGAGCCAACTCATGCCATCATTGCGCTTGCCTTTCGTCGCTCCAGTCAAGTCAAGTGACGTCTCAGACCGCTTGCTTCACTGTGCAATGCGCTGTGGAATTCGGCTCGCCTTCCGTTTATCTTTGCCGCTGACCGTGTAGTGCTGTGCTTCCGTGGGTCACATCGGCACGCATCGCCTCAGCCAAACGTCTACAACTTCTTCAGTGGGCTGGCTGATCTACACTTAGGTCGGCTGACGATTGTAGTAAATGATGATGGCTGTGCTGCCCACTGTCGGCTTAGCAGTAGACTCAGTCCAAGCGCACTGTTCATATCGCTCACAACTTTTTGATACCTCTCGTCGCGGCACCTCACACCATAATTGTTTGATGATGGTGGTCTTGTGATAGACATGTATTGTAACGCAAGGGGATGAAGAGGCGCACACAATGGGCGTAGGAGCGTGAGAACAATGAGGAAGCACTGGTAGCGGATGGAAGCTTGTTCCATCTACCAAAGTGGTCTTGCTGTGGGCGCATGTCGAGACCTGCGCTCCTGATTCATCGGCTGAGATTGATCAGAAACGGACTTGTCCGTCCAATCCGAGGAGCCGACGTAAGACATGTTGTTACACTCGTTGTTGTCTATAGTCGGCAACTACGATGGTTATATCATCGACACTGCCGGATGTGGCAGCCTTGTACTACACGTCAAGTCTCTCGAGTACATACTTTCTGCACCCGTTCTCCGTCATGCAATGTCAATGACCGGGATCTACAAGTGCGCGTATCAACTGATGCCAAAGAACTCAATCGATTTACCCAAATCATGCTGGATTGGTGTATGCACTGCTGATTGTGCCAATAAAGATGACCGACATGCAGGAAGTGTGCTTGGATCCAAACGTGCGACCAAGACTTTGGATTGAAGGATTGTACGATACATCGACATGAGAAAGGATTAACTGCGTATGACGAACATTAGTGGCGGTGTGCATGACGATGGTGGATGAAGATGCGCATGCGTTCGTAGAAATACAAGTAGAGGTGTACCGGCGAGTAGCGCCTGTTACTCACGCGAGGCAAGGTTAGTCACTTTTAAACTTACCAAGTCAATGACATCGGTCGACCTTCCGGTCGTAAGTTTTGCTTCCGTTTACATAACGACAAATAGAGCGCTCAGCCGGCTCTATTTGTCGGCGCCGGCGCAGTAGTCGTTGTCATTTCTGTCCGAAGTAAGCTGCATCATTTCCGACTCAACATGGTCGTTGCGCACTCACCACCCATATTAAAGTGGTGTCTGGCCCGGGCCGAGTGACAAATTCATTTGCTAAGACAACTTTGTGTCGCAATTCATTGCTGAATGATCAATTTATTGTAAAAACGAGTGACAACATATCCTTACGCAAAAAATGGCTCATGCCTTCAAGCAAGCACTCTGGCTTTGTACGCGCTAGTCATCGGTAATGCGGAAGGCTATCTAACGCTCGAGTGAAAGAACGCATCAGATGACAATTTTGCCGCTTTAGAGTTGCTCGGATGACAGCGGAGAAAAGCTTACATGTATTCCAAAGGTAAAAATAGTTGGTGACAATTGAAGCTTGCGGACTTCGACTACTCTCGTCAAATACGGCCAGCAAGGGGTTTGCACTGCACTATATTTTTTATGTAAAAAGTACGTTACCCCAATCATGACATACCTCTTGCTTATTTAGCGACGAAAAGCGTTCTAGTTACGGTTAGCACACATTTAGATTTGAACCTAAACAAGAATGTCAAGAGGTGCTCGTGCAAAAACGAGCAGCATCTCGCGAAGTCCCTCTTGTACATTCTTCCACAACTAGAGCACCCGAGTCATATACATAATTGCACACAATGTGGGTAGTTATACCGACTGCGGCAGAGCGCTACTTTGTTGAGAATTGCCCGCCGAAGGTCATAGTGCCTTGGACGCATTCTTCGCAAGAAGCAAAATGGCATAGTGGTGTATAACGCTATGAGTCTCAACTGCGCTCTGCTGCACTCCTGTGGTAACTACAAAATATTATGGTACAAACAATCGACAACTGTGCGCTCGCATGTTTACGTCGTTGTCTAGGCATCAGATCCTTGTCGCTAATATTTGGTGCCGCTGATTGTCTTCTTACGTTTGACTGCATAAACCATCTATATCGCATATCTATAGATCGAGTTGTATGGATTCCGACGGAAAAGTAAAAGGTACAGCCGCTGGAGGCGGCACCAATGATGACGGGTAGTTTAGCACAGCAGACATCACAGGAAAAATTAATTTAAAAGCACAATTGCAAAGCAAAGACGCCGAGCTGTGAAAGAGGGGACTTGGTAAAAGCAAAGTTGACACACACATTTGCGACGAACACGAAGCTTCGTAAACACTGTTTTTAAGCTATCCCAACCGA